CTGCTGGCACCAACTCTTCGAACTCGCTGCCTGAATCAGTTCGGCTTCTTGAGTCTCAACTTCAAGTTGAAAGACATCGATCAGATGTTATGCGACAGGAAGCCGAAGGACAGAGGAAGTCCCTGCAGAATTCAGATGCATACTTTCGGGTGTAACAGCAAGTGTAGGAGGATTTAAGAGCCAAACAAAAGAAAGTTAATAAGATTGCTAAGCATCTTGCCAGCATTACGGGTACCCAGGATATTGTTTCTTCAGCTCTTCTGAAGTGGTTTCAGTTCTGGATTTGTTTTGCTGCGGCGTTTATTTGCACTGGTCGCCAACTTTGACAACCAATGTATATGATATGCTGCTTTGTTCCCTATATTTGCACTGGTGGCGAACTTTGATGCCCAGTGGATGTAATATGTGTAATAGCCATGATAGCCTAGCGTAAGTTGCTTGCTTATTTATTTCCTTGTTATCTTGTTTATTTGTTTGCTTGTAGTCAGTGTAGTTCTTTTTCTGTGGTTTGCTAGTGGCCGCAATAACATATTTTTTAAAACTAGGCCACAATAACCATGGGCTACATATTTACTGTAGTTACAATGGGCCTCCTACGGGCCGTAGAAACAATGGGCCTTCTTAGGGTAGTAGAAAGAATGGGCCTTCTACAGGTTGTAGCATCAATGGGCCTTCTACGTGCCGTATGATCGATAGGCCAAACATGGGCCAATAACAGACCACATTATGGGCCGTAAACGAGCTAGATTTGGAATCGTCTGTTTATGGGCTGACAATAACAGGCCGTCGTTAATCAGCCGTATTTAATGACGTTAAGAAAATGGCCCGACGGAGTAACGGGCCGATTGTAACCGCGGGCTGAATTTGGCCCACAGGCAGAAAAAGCCAATGACGGGCCATAAGTAACCGAATGCTGGAAATAAGCCCAAGAATAAATGGGCCCTAAGAAGGCCAAAAGATAACACGGGTTGGAAACGGCCCAATGGAATAATGGGCCATTAATGGGTATAAAGGGGTACGCTATTCATTGCGGGCCAGATTCACCATGGGCCGTTAATGGGCCAAGAGTTACAAATGGTCTTGTATGGGCCGAAAGACATCATGGGCCATACATGGGCCGGAAGTTACAACGGGCTGAAATCATATTGGAAAGCCCAGATGAAGCTACTGGGCTTAATTTGGATAGGCCATAACGGGCCATGAGTTAGCGGGCCGTAAATGGGCTATATACGAACATGTCATTAACAGGCTTTCCGTGGGCCGGCCCGTTACCTTTTAACCAAGTCAAAAAGGCCGGCCTTTTCACCGGAATGGGCCTTTGTTGGGCCGTGCCAGGTGTCGACGTATCATAGGCGCCTCATGTCCAATGAATGGATGGCATCTGTCCGAACGGTGAGCCAACACGTGTTTCCTCTATCCAATGAGAATTTTACATGTGGAAAATCCTCATTGGTCCGGGCTGTTAGCGGGTTATCGAATCCAAAACCGGACCTGGTATCTTAACGGCATTCCGTTACGGTGGATGCCACGTGTCGGTCACCCTTGATGAAAGCACTTCCATGACGCGCGATTTATCGTCATGGAAGTGGACACTTCCATGATGATAATTTTGGTAATGGCATGGAACACTTCTACGACAGCACATGTATGACTATCTTGATTCTGTCATAAATTTGTCATGAATGTACATGCATGACAGAAAACGTGACCTACTGTGATAAACACGTATCATCACGGAAGTGTCTTTTTTTGTAGTGTTATCATTAGACTCATCTGAAACCACGGCACCGAAAAACTCTGTAATTGGAGAGGGGTCAAGCAAAGGGTCAACTTTAAAAACATTTTCAAAGTAAGCAGAAGCCGCCGCACCCATCTCTTTTATCCCCGTATGGACAGTACCAAAAGCATCATGTAGCTTCTTAATCTGGTTCTTTCGGGCTATCCAAATAGCTCTTGCATGAAAAAAAATCTTGTGTTACGATCGCCCTCCTTCAACCAATCGACACGGGATCGCTGCAACCACATCATTTCTTCTTTATACAGTAGTTCGTTCAGCCTATCAGTAGCTTTCCGAATCTCACATATGTCTGCATTCATAAGCATTAGTTCCTCAAGCTATGTTCTAGATTTGTCAATCTCTTTTGTTACCCTTCTAAATTTTTCTTTGCTCCAAGAATAGAGCTTACGCATCATGGATCTGAGAGTAGCGTGGACGTCACCGAGACACCTTTTTTGTCCGGCATCTTCCCAAGCACGCACAATTATTTCTTGAAGAGCCGGTTCTCTCTCCCACATCACTTCATATTGTCTAAACTTATTTTTTACATGCAAGTCCACATACTTATCACAGCATACATGCAGCGCCACATGGTCCGACGTAGGGGAGATCAGGTGCCGGACAGTTGGGTGCTCAAAACAATTGTACCAGCTAGGGGACGCAACCTTCCGATCTAGTCGTACTTTCACATTACCGTTCCCGCTTCTTTTGTTATCATAGGTGCGGGGGACTCCTGGGAAATCCAAGTCTACAAGTTCACATAATTCAAGAGAGTCTCGAAAAGCTTGCATCTGTGCTTGGGGTCTAGGTGACAAAGAGAAATGCTCAAAATCCCACATGCACTCGTTGAAGTCTCCTACCACAAGCCATGACAAACTAGACTGGGTACCTAGATCAGTAAGAAGAGTCCACATATTGTGTCTATCATCGACTCTTGGCTCTCCATATACACATGTGAGACGCCAAGTCTCCTCATCTGGCCCTAGCTTAACATGCGCATCAATCCATCTGTGACTTGCAAACACAACCTTCACCTCGATTGTTTCATGCCAATACAAAGCCAAACCACCACTATTGCCAATGCTATCAACTCCATCAAAACCCTCCAAGCCAAAATTTGACCGATGTTTCTTCATTTTATCCTTGGGCTGCCTTGTTTCACACAAAAATACCAAAATGGGGGAATGTGACTTAATGAAAGTCGCCACTTCTCAAACTGTCCGGATATTCCCCCCACCCCGGCAGTTCCAGCTAAGTAGATTCATTGGGACCAGCGGTCCTCCAGCACGGAGGCCGCCTCAAAAGTCATATCTGTATCCACCTCTTCAATTCCTTCACCTTGTCTTCTTCTCTTGACAATAGGGTCCTTGCCTAGAGTTGTGCTAGGTGGTAAAGCACCCCCCGAACCTTTCTCATCCCCGCCATTCTCTAGCATAAGCACTGTGTTAGACACTTTCCCTATTAGATTTGGCACTACTTGGCCACGGATATTCATAGAGCCATCCTCCCTAATCAGCCTCTTACGAACCCCTTTGCTATCATTGCTCGCAGATGGGTCATGCAAACTCGTCGTGCCTACCATCCCATGGCCCTCCCCCCTGTCCACGTCCTCCTGGAGGTTCATACCTCCCCTTCCTCCATGACCACCTATTCTTCCTCCTCGGCCAAAGCCTGTAGGGGCAATTCCTCTTCCTCCAGAACTTACGCGACCATCTCCTCTACCGCCCCTTGAGCCACTACCATCGGATTCATTATTCCAGTGTAACCAATCGCCCCAGTCACAAGAATCAGGGTCATGAATTCCATCACCACATTCCTCCACCACATGTCCCATGCACCCACAAAAGAAGCAAAAGTCTGGAAGTTTTTCATAGCACGCCGGGTATTTCTTTCTTTCCTTCAAAGTTATAGGGACAAATCTGACTAGTGGGATGTTCACGTTCACAAAAACCCTTACCCGTAGATAGTTTGAGGGATTGATTTTTTCCTTCATTAACAACTACAGTAAAGGGCGGTTCTCCAACCTTCTTCGCCACTTTTTCCGCCAATTCCTTCTTTCTTGTGAGGCCATCCGGCAACCCTTTGATTCTAGCCCACAATGGATACATATTCAGGGCATATTCAGTAACATTTGTGAAGCCATCATACTCTACTAGCACCACCGGATCCCGTTGGAACTGCCAAGGTCCCCCATCCATTACTCGTTTCCAATCCTCCAAGCAGTGACATTGAGCCAAAAAAGATTTGGTTTGGTCCCATTATGTTAAAGGTAACTCCTTTAGCACACAGCCATGCGTTCCTCATCGAGTTTAACAGAGCTGCATGACTGAACGACCTCATCGTATGAACCCTAAACAGAGCCAGCCACCGAACTTCTTTTGTCAGATCTTCAACCTCCCCGGACAAGTCCAGGTCTTCTTCCTCCTCTTAGTGCAAATTCAAGCCCTCAAACACATCCGCCAGATTTAGATCTGGGCCATAGTGATCCCAACTCCCATCCTCGTCCTCTTCACGAACCGCCCCACCCACGTCCTCCTTCGGGCAGCCCTCAGGCAACTCCATGGACGGATTGGATGATTGCCCGATCGCTTCCCCATCCTCACGCATCTCTCCCACCCAAATCTCGGCCTCCTTTGCTTTCTCTGATCCGCCGACGCCATGGAGACCTAGCGCATTGCTGGGACGCACCAGGGAAGTTAATCGCCGGAATAGGAGGCGAGACACCGGTGAAGTTACGTGGACTCTGGCGCACCGCCAGAGGAAGGGGTGGACTCTAGGGAAACCCTAGAGGAAAAAAAATACCGTCAACGTCTAGCATACTGACAGGTGTCATTCCTGTTTATTTATTCAGGACAATCCTCAAAATATCGTTTACTGAATTAACTACTCCAGTTCGTAGCTGCCCCAACGACTGATATTTTTCTAGAGAATATTAGATATAGAAGATGATCGCAAACAAGGGTGACGAAAATTCTTCGCCATTTCCATCACCCAGCTAACCATTGACCGGCCGCATAAGCAAACACTCCATGTCCATGGAGCTCCGTCCCTATCTGCAAGCACATCCATGTCCATGTAAAATCCTCGAAGTATCTTTTGCTGAATTAACTACTCCTAGCCGCCCCAACAGAAGATTTGGCATGATTCTTTTTCCGAAGAAGAAGACTATACAAGATTACAAGATGATGGCAAATGTCCATCTCCATGAGATCATCACCTACCAATGATCGATACACATACACCTTGTTCCTTTTTGACCGGCCGCATGCGTAGCAGAAGCAAACACTCCAACTCCACGGCCATGGAGCTCCTCCCCTTCCTCCTCCTGCTACTCACCGGCGCCGCGGTGGCCTCCGGCGAGCCGGCGTACCCTGGCTACGGCGCCACCGACGCCAAGCCGGCGTGCGGCGTGAAGGAGGAGGCGCCGGTGCCCGTGCCGGAGAGGCGCGAGGAGTTCGACGGCGGGCGGATCCTGGACATCAGCCACTACTACCGGGAGGACATGCCGGCGTTCGAGTCGGCGGAGGGCACGCCCGGGTTCCTGCAGCTGGCCCGGTCCATGCGCAACGGCTCCGACATCGCCAACTTCTCCGAGCTCCGCCTCACGGCGCACTCTGGCACCCACGTCGACGCGCCGGGCCACGTCTTCGAGCACTACTACGACGCCGGCTTCGACGTCGACACGCTCGACCTCGCCGTCCTCAACGGTACGCCGCGCGTGGAGTTCCGCCGCGCGTACGCTTCTTGTATTTTGATTCTTTATATAAATATATAAATCGCTGGATAGGTAGCTAGCGGTAGGCATGTGATTCATTAGCGGTACTAATTATCGATCACAGGAATAGTAATTTTTAAATCTCTGACTTGTAATCTGGTGTGCCGCAGGACCAGCACTGTTGGTAGATGTTCCAAGGGACAGCAACATAACAGGTAAACTATATAGACCCCCACTACACTTGCATATTTCAGGGTCGTTCATAAAGTCAGATATTCAGTTAGACTCCATGGAGCATTTGCTCTAAAATAGTTTAGTAAATGTGAAAAAAATACAAAAAAATTAGACATCTACATGTTCATGTCCAAATGTTATCTGTATTGTTTAGGGGAAAAGCCCAATCATTTCAACCCGTGCAAAAAAGTATCCCCTCTATAAAGAAATATAAGAGCGTTTACATCACTAAGTGTAGTGATGTAAACGCTTTTATATTTCTTTACAGAGGGAGTATTACATTTTGAATTTCAGGAAGTACTCTCACATGTCTGAATTTGAAGTAAAAAAATGTTACATTTTTGAATTTCAGGAAGTAATCTCACCCGGTTAACAAATTTAATTTTAGATATTTAAATTGGCATGTGTCAAATTTGTGTCCCTGTAAGACACACCAATTGGAAAGTAAAAATAGCAAATTGTCAGGATTAAGAGCGCAAGCGAGAATAATATATATGCGCACATCACTGTCTTTCATTTTGAACTGTAAAGATGATATTTCCATGTTACATCATGATCATGTAATACTGGTTCTGCCACCTCAAATTATATTGTTTCATAATGTTTCATGGACTCATGGTAGACAATGTGTGCATATATGTTCATGAAAAACACCCCCAAATACAAACTTCTTTTCTTGCAGCTGATGTCATGGAGTCCTTGCATATTCCTAAAGGAGTCCGCCGTGTACTCTTCCGAACCTTAAACACCGACAGGTAATACCAACATACTATGCATGCACACAAGAACTCGCATCACATTCATGTATACGTGTGCACATACAACACATGGTGGCTTTACTCTATGATGATGGTGATGGCATACATAAAACTTGGGGGAGACTTATATGAGATCTCACTTTTAGGTGAGATCGTGAGATCAACCCAAAAAAAATATATCATATCTAGACATTTTGAAAAAACCTGAAATAATTTGACAACATTCATGTGGGGTATGTCTACAGCTCTGAAAAAAATCAGCTCAAAACTCGATGTACATTTAGAGATTCAAAAAATACAAATTCAAATGTGAATAGTAGCAGTTTTGGGTGAATAGTACTTTGACACTATTCATATCTGATTTTGTCTTTTTTGTTTCTATTAATGTAAGTTGATTTAGGAGCTGAAACTTTTTTAGGTTGTACATCAAACATTGATGTGTGTCTACAAAAAATTTGAGAATGTTTGAACATGTATTTTTTTGTCAAAAAAATCGATCTCATAGATCTCACCTAATGTAAGATCTCGCACAAGTCTTCCCCCATAAAACTTCAGTTAGTGTATTATGTCATTTTTAACCTTGTGATCACTGCCGATCAGAAATTTGAGGTGGATTTAACACTTGGAATTACATTGTATGTCGGCCATAAAATTTAGACTGTTTTACAAAATTGTGTGTGGGGTGTGGGGGTGGGGGTTCAATTGAGCCCACATCCTACACTTCTATAGTTGGATTTTCATGGTATGATCTTATTACTGTTTAACACTGGTTGCCACTTATTTTTAACTTCATAGTCCATCTCAAAAGAACATATATATCCCACAAAAAAATCGTCTAAACATGCAATTTTAAGCATGACAACTAAAGTACGTTATAGAAAAGATAAGCATATCCAAATATTTTCAATACTTACCTTGCACTTATGTTGTCTATGTTATGTGCATGATTTAGGTAATACTCCCTCCATCCCATAATATAAGAGCGTTTTTGACACTATATTATGGGACAGAGGGAGTAGTAATCATGTAAATTGAAAATAAAATGCATGTGCTAACGCAATATGAAACAACAGAAATTTCAATATCGGTCTTTGTTTATATTTCCTTTTAGTGGATCAACCCATTTTAATTGTATATTTAATATATGATGTTGGCTCATTGATTTGTTTAATGTTCCTGATACTCAATTTTTAATTGAGTGTGGATGGCATTTTCTTATGGAGCAAAATTTATATCATATTCAAAGTGAGTTATTATTTAATAAAAACTATGTAAACTATATCAAACATCAATCTTTCCTTAATGCAGAAAGCTTATGTGGAAGAAAGAGTTTGATTCAAGTTATGTTGGCTTCATGGAGGACGGTGCTCAGTGGTTGATTGATAACACTGACATCCAACTAGTTGGTAAGTCGAAATGTATTCATTCACTTTGTTCACAACAGTCTTTTGATTAAATTTGCAAGATATATTTTTCATCAGCAATACCGTTGCTACCAATAATGCGTGGTAAATCACCAAAGCGAAAATGACTGGTTTTAAATTTTAAATTACTGAACATGTAATATATCTTGGTCTTAGTCTCCCATCTTACTCACATTCCCTTCTCTAATGTTAATTAATATTTTGTTCATGCAGGAGTTGATTACTTGTCTGTGGGAGCATATGAGGAATGTATTCCAGCTCATCTAGTATTTCTTGATAAAAGGGTAAGGGTTTAAACCCATTCGAGTGGTAAACTTTTGGTCTCCGTGGGAACATATCTTAGGGAGGTGACATATTACATAAACCCGCTTAGTTCAAATCAATCTCATCCGTATTTGGAAGATACGAAAAGTTCATATTCAACATAAAAATTGGTTGTTCGGTAGTAACCCTTTCACCACTTGTAATTTTCATATCTTCCAAAAAAAACATTGGTTTTAATATTGAGATCACTCTCTCCATGTAAAATCCCTGAAAACCAGATTGAGACTCCTTTTAAACCTGTTATCTGTTCCTTTCAGGAAGTCATCCTTGTGGAAGCCTTGAACCTTGAACATGTTGCCACTGGAATATACACATTGCATTGCTTGCCACTAAGGTTGCGCGGCGCTGAAGGCTCTCCAGCGAGATGCATCCTCATCAAGTAACAATTGTAGCACTGTGTGATATGAAATAAGAAGATATGTGTATCACGTACATCAATATGAATTTGCAAATGGATGTGTCCAATCTCCAGTAGATAACAGATGAAACATACTAGTTTGTAGATTTCTGCAAGTACACTTGCTTTGAATCTGGCATCTCTGTACAATGTAAAAGGCTACTAGCGACTCTGCGAATTTCAGTGTTAAATTTCAGTATGGTTAGACTCAAGCCAATCTAGGACACCTTAATTTGGCCAACATGATAACTTTGGATGTGCCGCAGGTCTATTGGTAGCTTTGTTTGGTTGCCAGTAAGTTATATACCAGAGGTTCCCGACAACTATACTATTTTGCTGCGACCAGCTTTCGCCGTGACTCATTATACAACTACAATAAAATTTACCATATTGACCTTGGTGAAAAATGTGTCATAACCAAAGATGTGGCGCTGCCTAAACTTAAGCATTTGTGACATACTGACACTGAACTGGCAACATTCTCAGTTTGAACTGAGCGATCAATCACACTCTATGTTTCCATAACTGTTTACACGTACATATAGAAAGCCAGCCCTACATGCAGGGCACGTCCCGGATGGTGGCGCTAGATAAGGTCTATCCCTAAAGACTAGGCC